AATATGAAGGGTTAGGTATCCAGCAGTAACAAGTCTAACTAAAATACACACACAAATAATTATAAATTAAGATGGAATGTTCGCTACAAGTACAAGGCTTCAGTAATAGTTGCAGGAGATACATGATATTGCATTTGATGAAAGAGACATCACTTGACACACACTCACCTATCATGAAAGTTCTATTCATGCAAACTCATTATTTCTGACCGAAATTTTTTCAGTACAGCCATAGTGATCAATGCCGGCCTGCACAAAGAATACACTTCAAGACACCCTAAACGATGAGAACCTTTTCTGCCCTTTGAAAATACACAATTGCTATAGATCTGTATGGCATAATACACAGACAACAAACGAGAACCCTCACAAGTCCCATCTCCTTTTAACATTTTTGTTTCTCTTACTACTATCCCAAATTTCCACAAACACTGTCTATAGTCAAGTACTGTTGCAAAAAGTAAGCCATGTGCACACACATTATATTGATGGTATCGTAAGCAGAGTAAGAGAGACATGTTTACTCCTCCTCCCATCCTCCTCTCCACTTCGTGCTCTGTCGTCAGCCTCACTTTGTATAGCTTGATTATTCCTTTCTATTTCGAAACTCTGTCTTGCATTCCCTGGTTGAACAAGATGTGGAACATTGTGCAATTGACGACGTACCAGCACATCAGTATATGGCATTAAAGAGGTTAAAGCTGAATGATCTAAGCTTACAAACATGCTAAGATCAACAAATTTTCTACCACTTTTAGGATCAGAATCACAAACAGACAAATCAAACATATTTCAAACACTGACACTGCTACAGGCGTCATCACTGTGGGTAATTTTTTTTCCCCTTTTGCCTCAAACCTGTTGAGGTTCCCTCCGTGCAACATACAGGTCTTACTTCATGTACTTCTACTTCTACTAAATACTTCAAACACGTGCAATACACATTTTGTATCGATAGTACACAGCACACTAGTTATTTGAATACATGACAATATACAAGATTGTGTTAAGCAAAAACATTGAAAATGAATTCTGTAGTACTTCATAGGCTATTTCTGTGGCATATCAAGCCTCTAAAATTACTAAAAATCAGTCTTACTGCATAATCCTCAAATTTAAGATTTTGCTGGGTAATTTCTCATTCAAAAACTGATACACACTCTTTGCAGAATATGTCATGACAGATTAGGGGGGCAGTGCATACATATATTTGCCAAAGCAAATGAGACCCAATGTTCTTATTTTCACGCTAAGATAAGTGTTGATTAAAAGCACTTTAAAAAAGCAGATTTAAAAGAAATGAAATTATAAAATAAATGATAGAACTTTCGAGAACAGACTATAAGAGCAAGTACAAAAATAAACCATATTAATGAGAAAATGTAAGTTATATTGATTCAATAGGTAAACTTGTCAAACAATGCAAATGTAAAATTATACAGTATTGGACTTCTAAAGTGTTTGATATGGGACGTATGTCCAAGACTCTCATGCAAATATTACTTCAAGTAAGGCAGGAAAAAGTCAATGGGGACATATATAGGATTTAGCTTCATTAGTTACCAGTAGATTCATAACTAATAAAACAAGAAGGCCCACGCATTATGCTGCTTTTACAAATAATACATAATTTTTCAAGAACAGTCAAATTTTGAGACAAAAATAAATTCTGAAATAACATGCAGTTACTCTGAAACAGTTTCACCCAAAACGAAGAACTCATAAGCCGCCTGGGTCCCTTAGAGACCAAACTGTTTACATTTTTTTTTTTGGGGGGGGGGGGGGGTTGTTTGCACGCTACTCAAATTCATGATTTTAAAAAGACATCCACAAGTTTAAGTCATTCGAGAAATGTTAAAAGGAGCCCCACTGCATTGGAACTGAACTTTCTATTTCCAGACGATCTAAATGCTGTTTGAGTGTAATTACTACTACTACTTGTAGGCCGTAAATTATAACAGAAATTTGGTTGTGTAAAGCACTCTCTATTTCCAGATTAGTAAACGGTTGAGTGTAATTACAACTAAATATGTGTAACAACGCGGTGGAATCAGGCGCTCGTTAATTTTTGGGCATGTGGAGTTATTGGTATCATATTAAGGCTTGTTCATTTGTCTTGCTTTTAATGAAAAAAAAAATATTCATCTATGTTGATTAGAAGTCGAGATATTTGTGACTGAAGAATGGTCACCTAATATCAGAAGTAAAATTAGCTGCCAAAGTTAGGGTCCTAGTAAACTACAAAATGTTTTGTGCCTTTAATCTAAAAAGCACAGCTGATTAAAACCTGTAAATTCTTTGCCATATCGTCAGACCGAAGGGCTAGAACCCAAATGGCCGCTGGATTGGAAAAGTCAGTAAAGTAAAGTGCCTTTAATCAACGGTTACGGTAAAATCCACAAGGAAATGTGTTTTGAAATGGACACAAAAGGTGCTGAGTTTAAAAACAAAAATTCAATAAAGATAGCCAAACAAGCAGAAAAAACCCAAATTTCTTTGATTTCATTATTTTGACCAGTGCCTGATTTCACCATGCTGCCTCACATATTGTCTATAACTGTCCATCTATTTGTTTCTAGTTAACTTGTATCTATTCCCATGTATTTCTCTCTCACTATCATCAATTTTACAATATAAGGCAAACAGCCTATGTCATTGTCCGATACTGGTATATATTCATCACTTGCATAAGAATTCAGGCAGAACCTGCTACGTTATGTTATATCTGTGTGCTGGTGAAACATACACACCATGATTCAAGCACATAAAGCATGCTGACGATGTTTTCTTTGAACTATAGCTTTCTGCACTGCATGGCATTAGAGTTCCTCAACTGAACTCAAGAAATGAAATGGCCGTGTACTACTATACATCCACGAGTACATCAGACAATATACATGACACTGGTCAACTAAAATCATGAATTTAAATCATTGGCAAAAGAAATGGAGGAAAAAAAGGGCCTGTGAAAAACGCCAAGTGTACAGTATTCATTGAGTGAATTGAAAATAATTAATAACAGACAAGGACACAAACCCATACTTATCGTAATTGAAAAAACCCCAAACAAACCCAAAAAACCAAGACCCACTGAATCAGCCACCTATTTGCCAATAAAAGAATTAAACCATACATGGAAAAACAGGATGCTTTACACAATATATCAAGCACAGCCTGTGTTCCCATAAAAAACAACCCCCTGTTAGGTTCAATCAAAAATAAAAAGGGTGCATTATATTGTTACTGATCTCTTTAAGTAGTACAAATAAAATCACCAATGCACTAAAGTGGAGCTGACCCCAACAGTACATCCCACAGTATGAAGCTCTAGGACATAATGTATCATTTGAGTGTGAGTAAGTTTTTGGGGTTTTTTTAGTAGAGGTGTTGCGGCACTCACAACAGAAGGGGTGGATGTCGACAGAGAAGTCTTTACACGGAATCAGGCTTACTCAGCTCACTTCTCTAGCTTCAACACCACAAAATCTGCTTTGACTATCAAGGCACCCTGGAAATAGCGGGTCACAAGAGTGTGACAAACATACAAAAAAAGTAGAGAAAAATGACAATAGTAAGGACTAGGAAAGAAAAACCAGCAGTTTCCCGTTGCAGTTCAGGCACAGTTATGAGCATTTACATTGATGAATCAGCCCATTTACAATTCAACTGTGAATAAGAACATGTTAATGTCCCCCCTTTGGGAATGGCCTAAAGACACTTCAGTCAGTAGCATTGCCGCGGGGGTGGGTGGGTGGGTGGGGGGGGGGGGGTTGAGTAAAGAGAAGCACATCAACACAATAACTGTCATATAGCGCAGAGTAGAAGAAAAACGGATAGAAACAACAGAGGAATAAAAAAAGAAACAGGACCTACCAGTGGTGCCCTCCATCCATCCGTTAATTTATTATCAAAAACAATAATATTAGTAGAAAGTAAAATACCCCACAAATAAATTCATAAATCTAAAACCGTAAATGCAAGAAATGAGAAAACATTTTCACACCACAAGGTTCAAAACCAAAAAAAGCATGGAAATAAGCATAACACATAAATCAATACTACATTTTTCAATAGTAAAGTAACAAGAGCATTTGTACCACCTTTTAGCCTAATTTTTTTAGAAAATAAAAGGTTAATACTTTTAGTAAGTGTTTAACGTCACTTGCAACACAATAAGGTCATTAAAGTGCTGAAGATTAGAGGTGTTACAAGAGAGTAACAAACACAAAAAAGAAGGAGAGATTAGGAAGATAGATGTTTGATAGGAAAGAAGGAGCAAACCACACCAGAGCTCCCACCAACCACCCACAAATAAAAGGCATAAATAATGCTTATTTACTAAACCTGTATCCTAAACTTCGATATTTAATGAATTTACTGTAAGTGGTTCATACAATATAAAATACTCTAATAATCTTGCAAATAGTTTCAGTATACATGCATACTTTACAGAAACTTTCAAAGTACACAATTGAAACAAAATGTAAACACTCAACTAATTGATGTCAGCTATATAAATGTGGTTTGTGTTACAATCAAAGTAAAATCACAAACAAAGGCAACTGTCAAATGAAAATGAAGAACAATACCAGTTTGTCTTGTCAAACCTAGAATAGAGTATGAACTGAGAAAACGTTTTCCACATAGTACCTCTTTTGTGATTTTTATAAAGCATTAATCTATCCCTTCAAAAACAAACAAATTAAAAATCCAACATTCCCCCCTCCCTAAAATAAAATAAAAAACTAAAAACACACACTCACACAAACAAATATCAAAAAGAGAAAAGAAAAAACAACCTGTACATTAAAAAAATGTATACACAAAATATGCATAAAGAGCACGATTACAGGAACTGAGATCAATGCAAGGCTGCATTTCTCTCTTTAAAGTTGACACCAGAAGTCAAAGAATGGTTGCTTCTATTCTGGTATTACACCCACGGATGTATGCTTGCACATTCCAAACTTGCTTGCTCCTGTATTCTCGTACAGCTTTTAGACACTGTAATCCACTGGGAACAACATCAAACAGCTTCCGAGTTACTTCCTGCAATGAGTGGTATAGTGTTCATCTTAGATATCAGTTCAAACGACAGGACTGTAACAATAGTGACTCGACAATCTGGTGTTTGCCGCTCTGTTAATGTTTCTTTGAGGAAAGAGAAGCACATCGAAACAATAAAGGTCATTCAGTGCTGGGGAAAATGACGACAGACAAACAGAAACAACAGAGGGGAAAGTAAAGAAGTAAGACCTACCAGTGGCGCCCTCCAACCACCCACACCGTTCTGTTAAGATAAGATTCTAGTGCGACCACATATTCTCACAGTTGTGAGTTATTAAACAATTAGCATAAAAATACAAGTAAATGTGGTCATGTCCTCAGCACCTGACGATAAACTCCCAACTACAGTAGTCTCCGCCAAAAATTCTGGTCCTGAGGGAGACGGAGAGAAAAAGGACAACAATCAAAGTCTTTGTACTATTTCCAAGGAAACCAGTTCAACTTGACATTAATCCAAGGACCAACATATACATTTTTGGTGATTGCTTGAGCACATGAATGTTGTGATTTTCAGTTTTTTAAAAGGCTGTCACTGTGAGAAGGCTTCCAAAACAAAATCTTGGAAAAAGATTGATCATTTTAAATTAACAAAGGACTACAAACGGTATATTACCAGGACAAAAAAATAATGTCTGATCGCCGAGGACTATATATACAAACAAGATCGCTCCTTGAAAGATCATTGGCAGAGAATTTTGAGGGAAAAAAAGTAGGCTACCTATAACTATAACCAACATAGCGATATAAAAAATATGATCAATTACTTATACAAGCCATTCCATTGAGCAACTAAATATATATACAAGTAATCAAATCACTCAATTTAAATCTGTTACCAGTTCAACTGCAAAGGAGTCTCCCGAAATTGAAATCTTGGATTATGAGACTTTCAGCTGTTTAGCCAGGTTTTTGATTGAGAGAGGTTGCTAAAATGAAAGGAAAAAAAAATGGGGATTTTTTTTTCTTTTGGTTTACCGCTAAATTGCATTAACGTAATAAGCAGACTCCACAGTATAGCTTCTGGTGAGAGTACACCTCATATTAAGTCTTTGTTCCATTTCAAGGGGTGACAGCAGCAATCCTACTCTCACAAAGCAATCCTACTCTCACAAACACTATGCTTACCTTTCATTACTGTCCCTCCTCAACCGCGAGGTTTTGTTCTGCTGGCTGATCTTGCTGGGCTGGGGCCTAGGGGTGAAATAAAAAGGCATACACAGTCAATCCTGATCTAATGGCCACCTGTACAGGACAATCACCCATACAAGTGACCACTACCTACTCCCCCCCTTGCAGCCTTTTCATATTCTGACCCTGTCCAAGATGTGCAACACTTTTATTCTTGACAATGGGTAGCCGTCTTGGACAACTTTGACTGTACTTCGCCTGCTCAAGTTTATACAGCTGGCACTGAACATCTGATATTTGTACAAGCAGGTCAGACAAAACTATTATGAACTGAGTAGAAATACAGAAAACAACAGTTAAGGGTATTACTTTCTACTTTCTACTTTTTAAAATCCTATCAAGTGATAAACTGACAAAAAAATTTTTTTTTAAATTCTTGAATCCATGGCTTACAAGAATGAAATCTTTGCAAATAGCACACTCTGGATGATATTTTGTTAAATACTATATTTGTTGTTATTGATCAAGAACCTAAAGGGCTTTCTCACTTCACCCAAAACCATATTTTTTTGTCATATACAGTGGAACTCGGATTCAACGAGGTCGCCGGGCCTGACCTAAAATCTTGTTGAATCCGAGTGTTCGTTATAGCAAACATGAGGTTGTGTGTAGATAATAACAGGCACTGAGCAAGTAATGTAAGAGAAGTAACAAGTTGTGCCTGAAACGCCTGCAAATTATGAGTTGTGCAAAAAAAAAAAAAGACCGATTCGTTCAAATTCGCGCCTGTGTCATCTCGATTGTTTGCCAAAAAGTTGTATTGCTGTGTAGAGCCTAGCCTAGGATACGGTAACTTTTGATTCCATAGACCAGCGCACAATTCATTACGTAGATCTACGCCAAGGCTAGCTTATCATTGTAATAATGATCAGTTGCAGAGGGGGGACTGTGACGCGTTTGTATCTGTGACGTTCCTCGCTCGGAATGATGGTGCCTCCCCCCCTCCCGACACGCACAGTCACATGTGTGCAGGCCGCCCATCCGCCCCCAACACACCGTGCCAACAACAAATGGGTTGGTGTGAAAGAAGGCCGCTGACTGGTTGCATACAATCGGTTAAGTGAATAAAATAATGGTTCACGATGCAGGTGCAATGGATGGTTTCCGGGAATAGATAAAGTTCGTTGTGGGACAAAAATGAGTGACGCCACGTCTGCAGCGGCTGTTCACCCTGGAAGCGACGTCGTTGAACACAAGCTTGCTGATATAAGTGCTCGTTGAATCCGGGTTACTTTTTAAAATTGATTTTAAAGAAGAAAAAAAAAGGGGGAACCCATCTCCTCTCTTTGAATCCGAGCTTGTTGAATCCGAGTTCCACTGTATTAAGATTTTCTTTGCAGTGAAGACATTCTTTAAAAAAACAACATTACAAAACAAGCCACTTCTACCTTGCACAAAAAAAATAAAGAAATAAAATCAACAAAATAACTGTAGAGTAACAAAAAACTCACACAAAAACCCAACTATTCTTCACTATGCTTCCTTTCCACATTTGAGTGCTGAACCATGTCATAGGTTCCATGGCAACAGAAATTCCTGCTACACCAAAATACTGACTTCAGATGCGGTCAGGCAATGGTTTAGTTTGATCAAATGACCCCATCTCCGAAACAAAATATGACCAAAAAACTGAATCCTCCCTTCCTGTTAGAGTTAACAATACTTATAAACAATATACATGCAGAGAGCAAAGGTTAAAAACGAATATAGTAAGCTCTCACCCTTACAACTATGAAATAGCAGTCAAATGTTGAGAAAACACCCCCCCCCCAAAAAAAAAAAAAAAAAAAAAAATTTATAAAAAAAAAATATATTTAAAAATAAATAAATAAAAAATATACATTTTTTAAAAAAAGTTATAAAAGAAAATACTGTGCGGCATTAATTAATAGTTCTGAGGAAAATCATACTTCTTTTGGAGAGTGGAGACCAGATATTCTTAAATCAAATTTGCCTGATTCACAGTCTTCACAAGCATCACATATTCAACATGAATGTGACAAGTATGAGACTTTATGTGTCATGGTGTGGTGGAATTAGGCGCTCATCAATTATTTGGCATATAGAAAATGCAATAATTCGGTGACTTCCAAAACTTGAGGGTCCTTGGAAACTACAAATATACATTTTTTGTGCCTTTGATGAACGTTTTTAAATAAAATCCACACAGAAATGTCTTCTTAAATTGACAGAAAAGGTGCTGAACCTCCCAAAAAATTCAATGAAAATTTCAAATCGTGACGGCAAAATGTTGGCTTCTTCAATTCCATTATTTTGGTGAGTGCCTGATTTCACCATGATGCCAAAAATATTAATTAACTATTTTTTTTATCTACAAAAACTTAAAACACATTCTTTTCCGCGCAAACATGCATCAAAGTGACAGACCCTTTGCAACCTTTTTATTTCAGAGATGCTTCGACTTCCCCTGTACTGTCCAGACCACATCACACTGATGCCATTGTGTAACAGTATACTCGCACGACAAAGCAGTACAGCAACAGGTTGTTATATAGACCTGCATGTGAGCCTCAACCAGATTGTCTGAAAATTTTGCGCAACCCCAACCCCCCCCCCCCAAAAAAAAAGCCTTTGTGGGTGTCATAAGGAAGGACATCCGAGTAACGAGCGACCACCCCAACAAACACAAAAAAGAAGAGACCTAACCCTAACCCCAAAAAGAACCTGCAACGGGCCTCATGTAAAAAGGCCAAAACAAGTCCTAAATGAAAAAAAAAAATTTTTAATGAAAAAACCACACTCCAAAACAAACAAGGAGCATATATAGATCTAGATCTAGATCTAGATGGCTTACATCTACATTGCTGTAGGGTTTGATACAATACAATAGAATTGAAATATGAATCCTCCATATACATCTAGATATAGATATAATAATCTTAATAAATCTAGATCTAGATCTTGTTGAACAAATGAATAGGAAGAGGCCTTAAACTAGAAATCCGCATCCGATTCCGAACAGAAGGACTCGGCCGAGTCTAGATTCTAAATAAATAAATAATTCACGCACCTGATGAAATGCTTATTTTTACCAATGCCAATATTAATATTACAGCACAACCTATGATAGGGTTTGACACAATAGAATTGGAATATGAATCCTCCATTGAGGTCTATAATGATCTATATAATATTAATCTAGATCTAGATTCTATTAGAACAAGTGAGTCGGACTTGAATCTACACGATCTGAACAATTAAATTAGTCAACAAACGAAATTCAAAATGGCCGCTCGAGCACGAAACTGAAAGTAGATAATTTAGATTGTCGTCCTTTTTCGTATTCGCATTTCTACTTAGGTTCCGACAATTATGTCGGAAACGCCGACGTCAGCAGTCGGCGGTGCGCGCGTCGGCGGTCGGCACGAAAACGAAAGTGCCGACGAAGCCGACGGGAGAAAAAGGGGGCGCTGGCAGTCGGCCAAGCCTCGCACTACGCACATTGACTGATACAGGTGGGCCTAGCGATAGCATCGGCCGGTTCACGGGTCAGGTCGCGATTGTCGGATTTCAGACGATTGTCGGCAAACATGCAGGTCTAGTTATAGTACATAAAGAAATATTTCCCAAGCCTAGACAAGATTCAATCATATTTTCATTATCCCTTTTCAATAGTCCCAGTCCAGTAAGTTCATCATAGCAAAATAAAAAAAGGAAATGTGGATATAAACAAAGTAGGATAAGCATTATTCACTCTCAAAACGAATCTTCTCCTTACTTTATTTAAAAAGATAGAAACAAATCTATCCAACTGCTCAAATGGGATAAACATCAGCTTCGATAGCATAATGGTGGTTGAGACTAGCCATGTGAATATTTGAAAAGAGCAATCAGATCACGATTGAATAAATTTCAAGCAAAAGCTAAACTACAACAAAGATCATACAACTTGCAAAGAGCTGTAAATTCAAAGAAATTGTCAGAAGGATGCAAAATCAAAAAGAAATACCATCATCACCTTTGTTACCCCTCTCTTAATGAGTGCCAAAATAGTTATGGGTTACCTGCATAACTTAAAATGTTACCTCTGAATCCTTTAGGTTATCGTTTGACTCTTCTCCTTTTTCCTCTTCTCCATTTGACTCTATTTCTGCCTTTTCAACATCAGCTTCTTCCTCGTTCAGCTCTTCTTCATTTCCCTCTTCTTCTTCCACGGCATCTTTTCTCTCAGTGCCAGGGGCAAAAACAAGGTCAGAAGTCCCATTGGTAACATTTTGTGCACCAGTTGTTTGTTGGGTAACATTATCCGCAGACTTTACCTGAACTGCTGGTCCATTCTCCACAGGGGCTGGGGCTGGGGCTGTACAAGACAGAAACACAAGAAGTGTGTAGAAAGGTACACTTACAGCTCACATGGGGCAGAAGGGGAAAAAAAGGACCCCCCCAAAAAAATCTGTATGCATGAACTTTGGACTAACAGCACTGATCACAATAACCTGAAAATAAATCTACCGATACAGAAACAAAAATGAGAATACAGGAAATTCTCAGAGGAAGGGTTATGATTTAGGGTAAGAAAAATGTTTCCAAAATGTATTGGATAACAAAGAAAACAAATGCTGATGTTAAATGCTTAAATGGGGACATGAACTTTCATAACAGAAAAAAAAAGACTGATAAATATATACAGATGTTTGGCACCTCGGTGAAATTAGGCGCTCATCAAAATAATGACATCAAAGAAACTCATTTTTCTGCCAGCTGGGCAATTTCTATAGGGGTTTTAGGGTCAACACATTTTATGTCCATTTAAGAACACATATCTATATAGATTTTACTGAAAAATGTTGATCAAAGACACAAAAAATGAAATTCTAAGGATACTCAAGCTTTGTAGGTCACCAAAATTTGCGGGCCTTTTTCTCGCCAACTTTATCTCTGACATCCCCACCTCCTCCAAAATAATCTCAACCTCTATTCAAGATAGATGGGTATTTTTTTTTTCATCAAAAGCAAGGCAAGTGAATAAGCCTTAAGGTGATACTGATAACTATATATGCCTAAAAATAGACAAACGCCAGATTCCACTGTGTCGTGACACAATTATATTACTTTCTGAAATGAGCAGGAAAGTGAAGAAAGAGGTAGGAGTTGGTAGTCGCTTCAGAAGTGAAATCCTAATTCTCTTTGCCAGGAAAAATGGGAAATAACAGGAATACACAAAAAGAAGACAACTATTAGTTAGAATGCAAGATAAAATATGAAGACCATATTTGGCTTTTGTTCTTTTTATAGCACTTACATCTTCTGCTAGCCTTTTGCAGTATTTTCACATCAACCAGAACAAGTAATGATCCACACCAAAGTTATCTTGATTTACAATAGTCTGAACATGATCATGCCTTATAGAGCACAGGGAGATTCAAAATTTCTAGTGATTTTATTGTCTATCTTGATCTTATTTCATTCACATGGCCACAGACATTCTCTAGTATCATTTTTACAGTTTGTGTGACTTTTTAAAAACTGGATCTCGTTCACCAACAGAAAAATTATTGGCATAACAAGCTACCCTGCAAGGTTAGGTAACCATTTCAAATTTCTATAAAATTTCGCAAACCAGACAAGACACCTTAAGAACTAGAGAAATGAGGTTATGTGCCAGTTCTAACTGTAATGAAACATCACTTTAAAATCACACACCAAAACAGACAAACTGAATTGTGTAGTAAGCACTATTGCACAAGGGCGGTAAGCACAGATGCTAGGTCAGAATAAGAAGAGCTATATATGGCAAGGTGGCGGAGTAATGGAGAGCAGCTACAAAGAGAAAGCACCAAATGAATAAAAATTGTGTACAAAATGACAGAACAAACAAATAAAAAGGCTATGAAGTAAGGGAAATATAGAATAGGAGGAATAATTGGGCCAAGGAATGTTATGGCCATGGAAAGCATACTTTATATGATGTATTTAAAAAATCAGCATAATGGTGGCACCAGTAACAGTCCCAAACCATGTAAGTCCAAAATTAGTCAAGTTTAAAAAAAAAAAGATCTTTTGGAAACCTTCTTGCATCATGTATTAATATATTACAACTAGCAATCCAAGCGAAAACGACTAATTGGAATTTTTCCACAAAATGTGTGTATGCATTGTCGATATGTTTGAGTCATACACTGTTTTTCTCAATTTGTGACAGCAACCTTTTGTGTCTAAAACACTACAGTTCACTTTCAACATTTTTGGTGTCCAAATGAATTAGTTCACTGGTGAGTGTAACACTACAAAATATTAGTAAACGACAAGTCAGATTACTCATAGACAAGTTTGTATAGTGGGTACAATTCAATAAAAGCATGTCTTTTTTATACCTTAAAAGTTCAATAGATAATTGGGTCCCTTTTGAGCACAAGGGGGCTATCCCGAAAAAAGCTGTTTTGAGAAAATCGAAGGTAAAGTTTTTGGACCCTTGTTCAGTTTCTTTAAAAGACAAGGAGAGTTTTCTCTATAACCAAACAAATATACACCTCAATGAAGCCAAACTTCTTCTATAAGTAGGGAAAGATTTCTGGAAACCCCCGAAATCTGGGCTAGCCCGCTTGTCCTTAAAAGCGACAATTGAAAGAATTACTTTGCAGCTTTAAAATAAATGCATGTCATTGTTGACATTCAGAAGCATTCTTGCAATTTAAAAAAGAGCCCCAAAAAACCCTGAACTCAATGAACAATTAAACAAGTTTTCATTCTATGAATATACCAATTTGAGTCATTTTTAAAAAGATTTACTCTTGTCTTATTTGTCTTCCATAGGTAAAAAAATATACACAGTGCTCTTACCATTCTGGACAGACTGGGCCGGCTGTTCAGCTTTGACGGGAACTGGAGGAGGGCTAAACAGAATAGACACAGATAAAAATGAGTACGATATAAAAATGTGAGCTCAATAACAGCAACAAGAAAGCATAAATCTAAAAAAAAGCATTATTATAAAGTGCCAGTTCTGAAACAGACATCAGCAATCACGGTTCGCCATTATTTTGTTCTTGCTCGAGTGCTCTTAAAACCTATTATCCTGGTCTTCTCTCAACACACATTTGTTCAAGCTTTGCCAAGTTGCCCTGCCTTGTTTGCCTTCTGTTTTTTCAAGTGTGAGTAAGATGTTCAAGGCCTTTATGTCAATTCAAGTGTCCAAGAGTGCCTTTTTCTCTTCCTAAATTGTTTTTTATAATTATTCTTACTACCTATTTGATTTCTTTTCCTGCAATGAAACCACATTTTTGTTGCTTCTGTTACATTTTTACTGTCTTTGATTAACATTCACAGTTGTAGAAGGGTTGACCATAAATAGCCTTTTAGAACTCTCATTTTAGTAGTCATTCAGATGTTTTTATTTTTCAGGACAGGACTCATTTTACTGAATTGTCTTTAGCAACTGCAATTCTTTTTTCAATTTTGGTGGAACATTTGTCACTAGATGTAATTATATATTTCCTAGATTTTAGACTGCTGAACTTGTTTGATCTTTTCACTTTTACTTAAGAGATTGCAAATAGGATTTACTGCAGTTTTAGATGTTGCTATGCATTCTGTTTTTTATGTTCAATAATGACTTGGAGATGTACATTTTCAATATTCAAGTTAAAATATAATATTTTTGACATTAAGAGCATGAATTCAACAAAGTAAACGTCTCTACTTTGAAGTCTACACCCAGTATAACATATAAAACATTCCAGAAAAGGAGCCAATTAGGGAACCAAATCTTCATTACCTTGAAGTACACAATTTGTCACAGGTTGAAATGTTAAATGGCATGAGAGCTCAGACATCTTAAAAACAGCAACTGCCTTAAGTCTGGTGTATTATTAGACCCTCTCACTGTACATGCATTACGTTTTAGAGATCCAGCTATTGTGCTGAAAACAGTGTAAAACTTAACAAAGGTAATGTACAAAGAATCCAGCCTGCTCTAATGGCAAGTTGGCATAACAACATTCACATTCATTAAACAACCTATTAGGATTTAAGAGTCTGAAAGAAGGTCTAACAGGTTGTTTACAACATATTTGGTCAGAATATGAAAGACTCTCAGTCTGGTTTGCCAAAGAACCTTACACAGTCCTATAATTGTACAAAGCATGCTTTTGAAAGAAAGGAAACAAAAGGTCTTTTAAAATATATTATTAAGATTAGCACACTGGCTTATTTAAGCATATTGACTTGAAACCGAGACAAATGAAAAAGATCTCAAATTTAACACAAGGGAATGCCTAAATTTATATAGAAACTGAAATTGGCTCCGGGGTCCACATGTCCTTGTCCCCTCCTTTCACAAGAGATGAAAAATTACCCTTACAAATGAACATTTTAAAATTTATGTCCTTCAGAAATGTATTTACACAGATCAACTTTTTCGGAAGCACCACTATAGAATCTGCTTTTTAAACTGAGAGGAGTGCTCTCATCAAAAACCATAAGTGAGTGAAAAAAATATCAAGACCGAGAATTATTATAGAATGAACTTAAAGAATATCCAAATTATCCGAGGGAAACCAAAATTCTGTTAATCTCAAGCAACTCAGGTAAAAAATGACAGGTACCTCTGTAAAAGCAACAATCGGATGATAATATGTAATCCATATTTACCGAATGTCTAATACTTGGCAGATCATAATAAAAGCTGGAATTGGGACCCAACGGGTCACATAGGTCAAGTAAAATACTGAAAATTAGTGTGTCATAATAATTTAATATAATAACCAAAAAATCTGACAAGAAAGATAAGTGATATCATTCATGCATGATTCAAACAATCACATGCTTAATAGGATGTGAATCGTTCGTCATAAAATGGAACAAATTAAACTCCAGCATGCGGAAGGCAAAAATATGGTGTTTTTGAACATTAACATTTTCTCTTTTTTTTCTTGATATGTGAGGCAGCGTGGTGGAATCAGGCGCTTGTCAAAATAATGAAAGTCAGGAAATTGGCATTTTTTCTGTAAATTTGGGAATTTTATCCAATTTTTGTTTTTTGGCTCAACACCTTTCATGCCCATTAAAGAACACATTTCTGTACGGATTTTTAGTGAAAAACCTTGATTAAGGCAGACAAAATTTTAATTTCAGTTTCCGTGGACTCTCAAGCTAAGGAAATAACAAAACTTCGACGGCCCTTGTCTCGCCAATTTTACCTCTGAAACCAAGCGACCCCCACCTCCTTCAATCCCCAATATCTTGACTTGTATCTAACATAAATGGATAATTTTTTTCATTAAAAGTGAAGCAAATGGACAGGCTTTAAGATGATGCCAATAACTCCATATGTCCCAAAATTGACAAGCGCCTGATTCCACCACGTCATGACACATATGTTCCTCATACCTAAAGTTTACAAAACCTATAACCAAAATACAGATATCGCAAACATTCTTTTCCTACATGACCATGAATAAATGAAGCAAACTTGACACCTATGATTTAGTCAAACAACATTATCTACATGAGCCGTTCATCAAGCAAAACTAGAAACATCAGAGGATCTCTTGGACAGAGTGCAAAAACAATAAGAAAACAAAAACAAAACAAAAAAACCCCCAAAAAATATCGATGAGTAAAAAGTGATGCTGGTTTAGTTGGCAATCAACTGCGATGTTTCTGGCTAACTTGGTCTACCGCAAGACCTGTCTGATAACTGGTTTAGTTGACAGTCTACAGCAATGTTTCTGATCTACTTCACAGTCCAGCACTGACTGGTCTTATAACTGTTCTACTTGATTGTCTGCTAGTTTATACAGACTTGGGACTTCTGACAAGGATCAGTTAACGTATGCCCTTTGCATTTATACAGGTTTGGAACTGTCATTGGCCGTGTAAAAAAAAATGTGGGACTTACAGCTTACAGTAGACCATCGTACCCCGGTAGATTGTTAACTAAACCAGCACCTGAAAAGTTCTTGCAGGATAAAAAAAGTTTACGGACTGAGAGTGATATATAGGTGGAGTCACCGTACAGATGTTAGTCACTAAAGTTCACACTTGTGATTTTAAGATAAAAGAAAAAATTTGACTTGAAGATGAGACAAGGGGTGGGCACTAATAGCAGGCAAGCTAGGCAAGAATACATCATCCCTCAACTCATTATGGTGGTCCACTGATCAGCCTACAAAATTACACTATGAACGGGCGTGGCAAGGGGATAGTGCAAATTATGACTGAGATAAAAATTAGGCCGGTGCTGGCCGCCCGATCTGGGGTGGCTAGCGTTTTGCTACTCGAATGAATTTGGTCAATTAGCCTGACGCTACTGCCCCGGGGGGATTTCTGTGACCTCGTTTGGCTACCATTTTTCTGCCCACCCGGAGCCGGTCACCAAGATCTAGAACTAGGTAGCGTAAACACGGCCTCGCAGCCTTCCGAGCGACATGAAGCTACAAAGAGCACCTAGCATAACTCTGTGATTGGCCCAAATATAGATGACGTATTTCAGCCATCTATATTTCTGTCCTCAGAGGAATTCGCGCCCGCAACTTGCGCACGCAACTTTTGCCATCAGCGCAACCTTTGCGCAAATTTTGCTAATTTTTCTTGCAACGTTTGATATTTTCAAATGCAACTTTCTCTGGGACCTCCCTCACGAGTTGACTAGATCTATCACCCTTTATTATTATTCATCAGAATGCCGGTCACAAAGTTACTAAAAATAGAAATGCAGCGCTGTCAAAGATTGTGATGTTATCAAAGATTCTCTACTGCCCAGATGTTTCAATTGCCATTTCTCGCGTCTGAGCGAGACTTGGGTGCGACCTTGTTTTAGCGCTTGACGGCCCGTGATACGAGTGTAAACTAACGTTCCAGCACTGAGTTGAAAGTGAAAAATTTTGTTTGCGGGGAGAGAGAGAGAGAGAGAGACAGACAGACAGACAGACAGAGACAGAGACAGAGAGAGAGAGAGAGAGAGACAGACAGACAGACAGACAGAGATAGAGAGAGAAACCCCAATGGGCCAGAACATGAACATACGCAGAAATTCCCACGGGCCAGAAGCGTCAGGCTAATCGACTGAATTCGTTCTACTAGCAGACCTGCCACTGTATGAAATCTAAAAATCAGGATTTCAGAGTTAAAAAATCAGGATCTGGTGAAAAAATCGGGATCAACGGCAAATTAGTCATAAGGGGCACTGGGGGGGGGGGGTCCCCGGTTCCCTTTTATGAAGCAAGCACTCAAGATAAATCTTTCGCAGAAATAAGTTCCCATTGAGCCTCAAAGTAGAGGAAAAAGTTGAAAGAGAGCATGTATTCGAGTCTGAGTTGGATAGTCATAGACTGGGGGAGCGCAGGTTGCAGAGATGCTGAAACTCTCGTAGTCTTGACAATAGCTTACACATACATGTAACTCTAATCATCCATGCAAAGGCGCGCGTTTCCATACAGTAACAACGTTTGACTTCAGTCGCATGTATCAGGCAAGGTCGTACATTTACAACTATTTTCTTAGGCCTATTCCTTCATCCTCAATTAGTAGCCAAGCACTTTAAGTCGAAGTGTAAAAAAAAAATACCCCCACCCACTCCCCCCGGGCGTCCCATACTGGCGAAGTCCCGAAAAACATCTCAACTCAACAAACGCGACCAGTGTGAATGAACTTTGTTGCCCTCGACAACCCGCGGTCCCCGACACACGCGCTACTCACACTAGTCACACGTACGAGGTCATGTCACGTGATGCGAACGAAAGTTCCAAAGTTCCACGAACAGGTCTTGATGATGGGCCCGACTAACCAGAACTCGGACGAAGCTTGCTTGAATTTTAAAGCAAGGGCAGAACAACGAATAGATTATTTTTAGGCATATGTCATAATTGTTACAGTAATCAGGCCATCATTGGAGAATTCTTGGTAAGAAAAGCCAAAGTAGATCTAGAGAGTACCCAAGTCGGAGTTAAAAATCGATACTTCTTCGAAATAACGGGCGTGAGTCAACTATAGGCCCCTACTGGATCCGGCATTGATGTTTTAGAAAATAGCGTTCCTGCCGATCAAAAGTCCGAGCGGTGCTTTCAAACAAAAGAGATTGCAGAAATTTTTTTGCTGTCTAAGAATCGGACGCAACAGACACAACAACAAAAAATCAGGATACTGGCGACCAAAATCGGGAAAATCGGGATGCTTGAGATTTGGGGCAAAAAATCGGGATATCCTGATTAAATCGGGATGAGTGGCAGGTCTGTACTAGGCACTCCCTTGAAATTATGACTTGTCTAACTGTTGACGTTCAAAAGTAAATAGATTGGAACTGATGGTTATTCATAGAAGAAAAGTAAATATATCGATTGATACTGACATTCTATCACTGCAATAAACATAACCTGAACGAAGTCCAACTCAGACCAAATGAAACACCCACGACTCATGACAAATCAGGGCTATTCCTCAGTAATGTACAAGTCATCTTTATGAACAATTGAGGATTGTTTTGACTAGCTTATGTCTTGATATATTCTCTAGTCTTTCTTGTCTTAAATGTTGAACCACATATTTCCTAGGCTTTGAAGGCAGTAATTTTTTCAGTTATCAACATTTTAAAAAGAAAGTAGTCCATAGACACACCTCAAAGACACCATGGTCAATCAACGTTTGAAACAAGAAAATCAAAAGATATATATCAAGACAAAGGCAAGTCAACACGACCCTCAAACATTTATATTCATTAACCCCTTATCTCCGGCAAGCCATTCTCAGTGGCTCGTGATCAAATTTGCTGTGCCAGAGAGCTTGGGCAACAGTTTGGGAACATTTCTTTATAACGACTTCAACGTCAAATTACTTTTCGGCAATTGCTGAAAACAGGTCTCTTTTACCGGGATTTCATTCTTTAGATAAATAACTATCAAATAAGGTTCACTTGTTATGATTTAATGACCAATTTAGTGATGTATATTTGTCAATTTTAGATTTTGTACCAAAGAAGAACCCCGGCATAGTGGGTTTACCACCCTTAGAGATAAGGAGTTAAGATAACTCATACACCATTCCCTTTTCATATTGGCCTCCTTGACTTAAGGAAGTTCAATCATTTAAAACATTACTTCAATAATACCAACTGAACAAATTCTGAAAGAGTTAATTGATTAGTAGTGGTTAGTCCAATTTCTTTTTAAAAAACAAATGAAAAAATAAACAGGAACATAGCCCAAGGTAACAAATCATATACACAAACTTACATGATGACGCCTTCTAAAAGCTTGGCAGCGTCAAGGCCAGCTTGTGCCAAGGCATCACCAATCATTTGAGAGCCCGTGAGTTTGGCAGCCACAACCACCACTTCTTTCACTGGGCCTTCGCAGCTTCTGGAGACAGTATTGTAAAAAGTAAATCAGCATCCGGAAAAAAAACATTTTTAAAATCCATGAAACCTTCTAATGTGAAGAGTAATAAACACAACTGAGACACGAACCGGAAAACAAATGTTACAGGACCAAAAATACATAACTCATATAATCAAGATTTTTATGATGATTTGAAATGACTTGATAATCCAGTAGCTATTTAGTTTGTGTGCCTTTTTACCCAATTGAATATTGTTGAAGGTAAAGTCATTTCAAAAGCGAATCCTTATTGCTGTGAAAGACCTTTGTGATTTTGCAGCAAAATACCTTTCTAAAAGTCATGATCTGACGACACTGTACCAGATTTATTTGATCTTCAACTAATTTGTGCAACATCATGGTGAAATCAGATACTCATCAAAATAATGAAAATGAATTAAAAAACTGATATTTTTCCATTTGGGCAATTTTTACTGAATCTTTTTTTTTGGGGGGGGGGGGGTTTTTTTTTTGGTAAACGTTTTACGGTACTTACTACAAAACGATGTCATATAAATGTTAGAGAGGAGGCCTAATTCGTCTTACAATGTTAATAAGAAGTTCGTTCATGGTTAGCGTCATTTTTTCGAGGGGAGCTCAGCTCACCACCTGTTATGTCCACTTAAAAACAAATTACTGTGTGGATTTTACTGAAAAAAACCTTTGATCAAATGCAAGAAAATTTTTTTTATTTGCAGTGTCCAAAGTCTCTCAAGCTTTGAAAATCACCAAATTTTGGCAGTCATTTTCTCGCTAAATTTTTATGAGACACCAGGAGACCCCATCTCCTTCAGTTGCAAATATCTTGACTTCTATTCAAGAAAGATAAGTATTTGTGTCATCAAAAGCAAGGCAAATGAACAAACTTGAAGATTTTACCCATAACTCCACATAGCTAAAAAATTGTCGAGCACTTCATTCCACCCTGTCATTACACAATTATATTTTCTTAAAATAGATATATATCAAACACATACGCCATGTCACAGACTTTTGGTGCATTTTTAGCTGCATCAAGAGCCAACTGCATTGCATCCTTTTCACCTGTGAAAAGATAAAAAAAGAGATGTCCATAAGACATAAACTGCAAAGATAATAATGAAATATTTGGTTAAAATCTGCAGATTGTAAAAGTAAGAAAATTTAAATTCTGTATCTTGCTTTTATATCTATATATATAAAAGTGGACTTGGGAAGCTTTGTGCACAAACTCCTCCCTTATTACCTAAAGGTGTGGACCTTTGAAACTTTGCAGGCGTCCATGTGGCTAGGACCAAACTTTAAAAAATCCAAGAAAACCTTTCCCCCATTTTTCCAAAATGCTTAGTTTCGTCCAGACAAGTTTTAGTCCAAGGCTAACTTATGATCAACAATTTCGCATTTTTTTAAAAATCGGAAGTCTTTTCTCGACACAATTTTTAATGTGAAAAATCATCACTTTGGCCGTCTAAAACTTCCGAACCACTTAACTTTCGAATTTGACAAAATTAACGATGGTTCATAATAATTTCAAGGGTGCAGTTTTATTGAGGAGTCTGAAGTCACTGTCGTTTAATTTTCAGTTTTTCATTAGTTTCGTTTAGGTCGAATCTTGGAAAAGTCCATCTTCTTAGACGCCATTGTGAACAAGTGAGGCTTCCGTTCACAAGGAGTGAGCGCACTGATTCCACAATGACTTGACGATCAATTCTTTTCAGTCCGCTCATCAAACGGGATACCAAGCTAGTATATAAAAAATTTAAAAAATATATATATATATATAAATTTTTATAGTCGAGGGTTTTATGGCGCTCGCTACTGCATAAGGTCATTTGAGCGCCAAGGGGTGGGTGTCAACAGAGAAGTCTTTACAGGGAATCAGACTTAGACTGCTCACCTCTCTAGCTTCAACAGCACAAGGTCTGCTTCGACTATCAAGGCACCCCAAAATAGCAGGTCATAACGGAGCGACAAACACACAAAAGAAGTAGAGGAAAATGACAATAGTAAGGATCAGGAAAGAAAACGCAGCAGTTCCCTGTTGTACATCAGGCACAGTTATGAGCGTGACATTAGTCAGCCCATTTACAATTCTACTATGCTTGAACGAGAAATGTCCCCCCTTTGGGAATGGCCTAAAGACACTTCAGTCAGTGGCACTGCCCCGGGGTGTATATATATATATATCAGTGGAGTGTCTTATAATAAAGAAAACCAATACAAGATTTAGGTTTGAGCATTGGCAAAGTATCATCATGTAGTTAAAGAAAAAGGAGAAAGGGAAATTTCCCCCATAAATCCTAAAAAAATGAAAAGCTGAAAACCTCTTAGCATGTGTGTTTTTCCCAAATCTTTCATTTCTTTTGCCTGTTCATTCTTTATGAAGGAGAAATGAAGAACAAAGAAAGTAGTATATTCTTCTATGTTGTGTCAAGTGGTGTTAAAGTTTTCTCTCAAAAAGAAATAGAACACATAGGCCTACACCTTTTGTTTTTCAGATTAATCCCCCCCCCCCCCCACACCTATTCAGAAACAGGAACGATTCAAAGGTTACCTTTAGATGTACAGGGGAAGTTTTATAAAACAATTCCCCACACTAAGGTAGTATCAGACCATACCAAAATATCTAAGAAAAAATTAATTGACTCTACTAAACTCTCACAAGTAAAGCCCCAAAGAAATGAACATCTATAGTATTACATTTAAACTTCTATTTCATCAGCTAGAATACAATTGAAATGTAATTATAATTGATATGACCAACTCTTAGCAGTGTGTGCATTGACCTAAGAAATCCCCCCCCCCCCCCCCCCAAAACCACAAAAATTAGGAATTTTCAATTAGAAGGAAAAAATTCCTTAGAGCATACAGACATTTTGAAGATAGGCCATTCACAGACACAGGAACACAGACATGATTGGATGACAATAATTTATAAAGTAAATGAATGACTTAACTTTTTAGAGTCTGCTTACTTTGGGAAAAATCATTTGACTGGATTATTATCTATTATCTTAAAACTCTGACCATCCACTTTGCCCATATCTACATAATCAACAGCTTTTCCAAGTTATGTGTGAGCTTAGAGTGCATGATAACCTTCCAGTATTTCAAGGCAAGACAAACAGAACTTTGAACAGACAACTAAAACAGTACTACCAGTTCAGTTGACAGAAGTTACAACATCCAAGAAGAAAGAACAACATACTCAATATAAATTTCTCCTTATTCCGGAATTAAACTCAGATTTCTTGCTTTCAACAGTGTAGTGCTTAACCATTACACCACAACCATACTTACACACACGCACTTGCCCAATCTACATGTGTGTTTAGATTGCACGATAATCTTCATGAGTTCCAAGGCAAGATAAACAGAATTTTTCACATACAACTAAAACAACTAATACTACCAGTTTGGTTGACAGACTGACTGGTATGATTTTACCTTGAATCTTTACTTTTTCATCTTGCTCAACTTTAAGACTCTGTGCACATGTTGCCTGAGGGGAAAAAAATTATGTTTATCAAACATAGGAGCAGGCCAACGAAACAGATAACTAATTTCATGTGTAAGCAAGTTGCATGTATTAAGATTTGTCAAAATATGAAACCCCTCCCCTCCCCCCAGTTGACCAGTTGCACAGAACCTATTATAAGCCCTCTTTTCAATTAACCACTCCATACAGAGAATAAAAAAATCAAAATCAGGACAAGATGAAATAGACAAAGCTGCAAAAAAATAGGAAGAAGGGACTGAATGGAAATGCTTTCCGTGAAATGTATGGGTGATATTAAAAACAAAACAGACACTGCAATTTTAACCATGTCAAAGCTTTAAATTAATCAGAACTTTGATAGGATCCAAAGTACACAAATTATTAAACCCACTTCTTTTCAAACGCACCAAAAGGAACAGATAAAAGGAAATTGTGGGCTTACTGCTTAACCTTTTTCAAACATTTAATTTCTTAAACATTAAACATCTACAGTATGAGAAAACATGGTCCAAATTATTGATTTCATTCATTGTCTGGCATATTTTCCTACACAATTTGAGGCATGGCCCTCTGATTCATTTAAAACTCGTGTCAGATTCCCTGAATATGATCTCTTTTACGCATCATACAAAATTTTCATTCTTACAACTGATATTCTTAACAATTCTTACCAATGATTCCTGGCAGTTTACAAGTTCAGATTGCTTATTGGCACACTCCTGCTTTTCATTATCAAGTTGTATTGTCTTCTCCGTTACTTCAGCTTTCACAGACTCAAGATTTTTCTTGGCAATACTTAGCTCTTGACGGATTGCATCAAGGCTGCTTTTCACCTGTGTATTTTCATCCGAAACGTCTCTTGCCCGATTTTGCATTGAGGTTAATTCAACTACCAGATCAGAGTTTTGACTTGAAAGGCTCCAGTAGTTATAGGCCAGGAAGCAAACAAGAACCAAGAGTCCCACTAGTATAAAAGGAGGGGTCCTTCCGGGGGACTGTGATCTGTTTGAGGAGACCATTTTGCTTTACCTGGGGAAGACAATGAAAAGATTATAGACCTTCATTGAACGACAAAGTTTTCCTTACAAAACCCTTCATAAACGTCCCACCTAACCCTAGCCGCTCTGAAAACACCTGCTCCCTCTCCTGCCCCCCCCCCCCCTCCCCCGAATTAAATCTAACCAAAAAAGCAACTAATTGTTTAGGTTTAATACCCCTTTCAACCATGATAAGTGAACTAAGTAACAGGACCTTCAAATTTTACATCAGTCTTTGATACAACCAAGCAAACCCTGGCTGAGAGGGATACAAGATCCCTGAAGAATGACAGAGATATATGAATAAAAATTTCTCCCCAATCGGGAATCAAACTCGCGTCTACTGCGTACAACAGTAAAGTGCCTACCCACTACACTACAGATGCCGGTTAACCATATTTACATGCATGCACTGCCCATTAATTTTTTTTTTAAAAAAGGGAAATTCTTGATTTCATGTGTAAGCGGATAAAAGTGGAGGAGGATAAGGAGAAAGAGGAAAACGAGGAGGAGGAGGAGGAGTGAGAAATAGAAAAAGAAGGAAGAGGAGGAGGACCATTTTATCGCTACCACCATACTATCAGCTGCTGTCATTTTAGTGCTATGGAGTCTATTCGGGCAAAAACAGCAGCCACAAAGTTGAAAATTTACTAGAAGTAGAAAAAACATAACACAGCAATGGATCTTTTAACTACATTTGAAGTAGAAGAACAGGAGGTTCGAAGAGTAAGGGCGAGCAGCTACAACAACAACAAAACAAAAACAACAACAAAAAACAACAACAGTAGTAGCAGCAGCAGCAGCAGGTCTTTAGAATTTATGACAGTGTCTGACACGGTACTACTGACACTGTGTGGTCATTCAAATGCCTGAAAAAAAGTAATACTAAAAAAGAAATGAAAGCAGAAAGCCACACAAAATCTCCTCTACCTCAGCAATGGTTTGGGTGAAGTTGGTTACATCATAGTATATTATTATTATATGCAAAAAGACTTCGTAAGTATCAAAGAATACCCCAACATTCTTCAAGGTGCGTGACTTGACAACAACTACTTTATTGAGTTTTCTCAACAATAGAAGAGCAGTCTGTCTCACTCTGTGTCCAATGGCTATAACAAAGCAATACGACAAAAAGTTACCATTGTTTTGAAAGACTCTAAAATAAACGAATTTGACTTGATCGATTTCAAAGCTTCTTACTGAGGCAAAGTGTCATAGTAATTGTGGTAGCAATGTGGTACGACAGCCTTCAACTCCTGTAGATGTTTATACTGTCAGGCAGTTATCTTCACTCTGTCTTTGCAGAGTTGTCCAGCAGTAACTTTCGTAAACAGGATGTTCAACTTTCCTTGCAGCGCCTGCCATTCATCATCAAAGTTCAGCTTGAACTGAATTTTAAAGACTGGAGTGTACTTTGATGCCTGCAAGTCAGTAACAGTAGGATCGCCTGCTTTTCTCCCTGGAAGGATTGGTTAGTACTCTCCGACCTTTGGGAAATCTTTGAGAAAGCTGTGGTCCAGGTACATAACTTCATTGGGCCTGGGGATGCGTCTGGCTTGGAGCATGATGTTTACGTAGTCCCCTGGGATGTAAATCAGTGCGTTTTTAGAGCGATCGCTCAATAGTGCCATGGACTGAATCCACCTCCATTTCAGTATGGCCCTTCGTGATCTGCTCAACTGCGATGTCAAGCTCTTTGGCCAGCGAGACCATAGCACTCACCAGGGTGGCATTTCTGTCTTGGTAGTTGCACCCATCACTGTAGATGATGAAGTGGTTGAAGTCAGTCACTTGTGATCTCAGGTAGTTGGAGCTCAAACCACCTTCACTTTCATCCCAGACATATCATCTGGCATCTCTGGTGGCAAGATCCTAAATCGTAAAATTGTGTACAGCAAGTTTTGTTTTATAACATGGGGCGGGTGTCTTTAGTGATGGTACCAGGAGGACGCACTGGATCTCCCCACAAAGGACACTCACTTTGTTCTCTGGGTTCAGTGCAGCCTCCCTGTCCTTCTCCTTCTCTGCTCGAGATGCAGCTTTAATCATATTCATATTTGATGAGCAGTGTATTTTGTTTCTGTGAGGTTTCCAGATTCGAAGCTGGTGCAAATGTCGCACAGGTCTTTCTTGGTTGAAAGTAAACCCCAGTTGTTTTTCTTGAGCTTTTGGCAGAACACTTGATAGTTTTTTAAAAAAATTTCTGCCTCTCTGCACATTTCTCCATGTATACTCCATGCACATCTGACGTGTTCTGGATTGTCATCTGCAGACAGGATGGTATACAAAAGTTTGTCCAAAAACTCCTCTTTATGGAGCAACTTGTCATCCTTGGCTATCTCGTGGGGGGCATGATGAGTTCTTGGGGGACTTTTTTTAGGGTAATGACTGCAATAAACACTGCAAATGAAAAAAAGAAGAAGCACTTAAAACAACAATGATTGTTGGGGGCAGGCGGTGTGCTGGACAGGTCCCACATTTTTTTTCATAGTGAGTTAGTAAATAATTAAATGCTTTCGACTTCGTCAATTCAATTGCAAAGAAAAACAAATGATTAGGAGAAGAGACAGTAGCTCGAATAGAGGAAAATGTCTTCACAATTTGGTGACTTTCCAGGACAAAGACAAGGAAGAACACGTGGACCGAAAAAATAGTGTAAAAAAAAACTAAATCCAAAAAGATGTATTTGAAATACCTGCATTGTCAAGAGATAAACAGTTCTATGGGAACAGTGGGGAGTTTTAGTCATTAATAACATTATCAGCAGCATTAAAAACGAAGAAAAAAGAGGAAACAACTAGATCTATATAACTCCTCAATGAAACTATCAAGAGATATTATACAAATATTTCTTTTTGGAGAGCTCCCATGGTTACGTGAGTGAATTCTGGACTATCAACGGTCTGAATTTGATGTCGAACGAAGTCCGGAGACGAGTTGAAGCCGGGGTTAGTCGGTAACGTAGCACGTGGCCCCTCGTTAGCGCGACAAAAACAGCCAACCCTCATTCCCTCCCTCACAGGTGGGATAGTCAGAATTATTGGGCTAAAATCTGATGGGTGCCGGGTTATACGGTTTTATTTCTAATATTTTAAAGACATTTCTGGACAAAATTCAGATCTGTCTATTTGAGTGAGCATATGAAATGGACGATTTACTATCTATAGGGCCAATAAAAAGTTTTTTGATATTTTGTACGTTAGTCGGTTTTATCACAAGGCCAACGATATATTATGTTCTATTGTCAGTATTTTTAATCAAGAGAGGGGATGTAGAGCTTTGCTGACCACAGAGTGAGCCTCCACGTCTATCCACTTTAAGTACTCGGTACTTCACAATAACAACAAAAATATTAAATTCTTTTGCGAATGCAGCTCTCAAAGTAAAACCCTTTCCAATACCAAAGACTCACAGATTCTGCTGAAAATTTGAGCTCATTTGATGAACTATTATTAAAAAACAAGCGAGTTTAATTCAAATAATTACAATAAAGAAAGGGGAAAAAATGTATTAAAATATGATCATAATACTATTTTTACTTCTTTTAATCCTCAGCTCGTGTACTGAGTCGTTTAAGAATTTCAGCCCCCAAATGTCAAACAATGTTGAAATATAGTATTTACGGTGGGGTCACTGTGATACTGTATGAGCAATGCAGGTGAACCTTGGCTATACAAATAAAACAGCGCTGTAATGCAGCGCAGTGACAATTTACGGTAACTTTATTGCATACTGTATCGATATTTGTGTCTAGGCCTATCATGAGTTGCGGATGGAAAAGTACTCATTGAGGTGTTGCCCACATAGTACCTCAGCAAACACTGGTTGATCTTGATGACCAATCACAGTGGCAAGGGGCAAGCAATTGTTTTTATATAATAAATCTAATCATGAGTCTCAAGATCTCCACCAATCCTATTTCCCCTCCTCTTTACCTGTCCAAAATTTATAGCTTCCTGTCTTTGACTGATTTCCCCTGCCCTTGTCGCTACAGACAACTGCTGCAATAGTCAGGAAACAAAAGAACCATTCTGAAGAATTCACAGTTCGATGTGATCCCTTCTGATGCGGACTTGTATATGCCCTACCTATCCAGCTTGTCGATGTACGTTCAGGTGGAGAGCTCAGGAGAAGAGCTCAGGTGTGAGTGCGATGTAGGGGGAAAGTAAGCACGTTCATGAGTCAACACCTCTGTGTGATTCTTTCTGAGGCAAACATAGTAACCTGCATCTCATCGAGATTTACAATGAAGATGTGATTGTACTCACAAAAGTGGATGATCTGTGATGGAAAGGGCAGTCAATGATCATGAATTTTTAATGCTTGGTTGATGAGCTACGCTGTCCAGGTTTTTGTTTGGTAAACTGTGATAAAGTGAAATCTTAGCCAAATATCGGCCTTCGGAGCAGGATCTTAGGAGTGACTTCTATGTTGCAAAAATGTTGTTGTCTTATTAAAAGCGGGATCTTGAACGAACTGAGATCATAGGTGGCCGGATCTTAGGCAGAAACTTACTGTAAAAACAAAATCACCATCCCATGAGGCTACAGAGAGCACTCAGCACCTGCGATTGGCCCAAATATAGATGACTTATTTCCACCATCTACTTTTGTCTTCTGCCGGGGTTCCCCCAAGACTCCTGGATTTCCTTCGCCAGGAACTGTTGACTAGATCTCGACGGGTTTGGGTTTTTAAAAAATATTAATTTGTGTTATCTTTTATAAACAATCTCAGCAATTCTCGTTCCATAAATTTACCTTCTCCTCAAAGTTGTATATACACACACACACACACAAAGCGCGTGCGCAAACATACACACACACACAAACACATGCGCGCACGAGCACACACACACACAGCTCAAGCAGTCGGCCATGAAACCTAGTGGCGTAGCCCATCGCGTGCTAAGCAGCAAAGCGGGCCCGCCACGATGAGATCTATTCAACAGGCGATGGAAGCCCCGTAAGACGACAAAAATAGATGGCGAAAATATGTCATCTATCTATATTTGGGCAAATACACAGAGATGAGCTAGGTGCTCGCTGTAGCTTCATGCGTTTTGAACTTGTCATTTCAGGTGTTACTTTAATTCTCCATCAAAGATTGCTGTGCCATAATAAGGCCTTCACCTGAGGTGTTGATAGTCCCGGGTTCGAATTCGGGTAATGACTGAAAAATAGTCTTCTCTAAAATTACCCTCACTTCCTTTCCTGCTCTCTAGCAATGTTCTGTCGCAGGGGCGGTTTGTTAACTGGGTAAGACCGGCGTAGCCGGTCAAATTTTTGTCAGCTGAACTGTTGACAAGAGACTTATTGCTGCTGCTGATTTTCATTCAGTTTAAAGTAAATCCGAATAAACATGTATCAATATTCAAAAAGCACCTTGCCGATTTGAAGGCGTTCAAATAGACAAGTGGGATTCACTGCTGTTTTGTCACGACAGAGCCTCATTCCTTCACCTTTGTTTATCGCACCAGCTCGTAACTTCAAATCGTCTCCCGTCAAGCTGTCACGTCGCGGAACTTCGTACGAGGACAAACGAACACGGCGGCTAAGGCGATGACGTCAGTCCGCTGGACAAATCCATCGACTGCCCTAAGAGCGAATTATAGCATCCCTTGATTGCCAAATTGGCCTCCGTGTTGCTACAAAATCAGTAATGAGACTGTCTTGAGTCTTGAGCAGCACAGACACGTGAAATGTTTCATCACCAATACATGTACTTATCATTCAGCCTTTCTCTACCTATCATCAGAACATTTATTCTCAACATGGCACTAATCTTTTTTGTTTATTGAATTTTTAGCCACCTATAGTTCCTGTTTGGTGATTATTCATCGCTTTCTCCCCACTAATAACGTACCTGGCCCATATGAGTCTAGCCGGCGAAAAGAGGAATCGTCTAGTGAAGATGTATATAAGGAGAATTATAACGAGGAGCGATAGGCTCTCCGCTGTCAGAGTCTGGGCTGAAAACAATGGGCTGTCTTTCAGCCACACCCCTGATCCTGTGGTAGAAAAGATCTACACCTATAGGCCGTACCCTTCTCGGACAAGGGCGAAAAATCTAGAAGGGCCAGTGTGCAAGTTGCGCACCTTAAAGATCCCTTGGTGGTCCAAAATCGATAAGAGTAGGCTTCAGCCATCACCTGGGCAAAATTTTAAAAGGCCAGCTCTATTTCTCCAAACGTTTGGGAAAATAAACTTGAACTCTATTTCTGCGAACGGTTTCCGTTCTCGAGATTTGTTGATAATAAGCGAAAGGAGTGGCCTGTGTCGGGTGTGTGTGTGTGCATTTGTGTGTGTGTGTGTGTGTGTGTGTGAGTGTGTGTGCGCGCGTGTGTGTGTAAGGTGTGAACGAAGCCTATTCTTTTATTGATTTTAGACCACAAAGGGATCTTTAACGTGCGCAACTTGCACACGGGTCCTCCGAGATTGTTCACCCTTGTCCGAGAAGACTGGGTGTAGATCTTTCCTACCAGAAGATCAGGGGTGTGGCAGAAAGATAGCAGTAAGAAGAAGCCAAGGAGTAGCAGTACAAAGGCTGTGCATATAGAAAGAATCAGGAGCCCAGAGGAGAGGGCAAAGGAGATGAGGGAGTGGGGGCAGAAAGAGGAGATGAAAGCAGACGACAGAACATTACTAGAGAGCAGGAAAGGAGGTGAAAGGAGACAAATTTAGAGAAGAAAATTTTTCGGTCACTACCCGGATTCGAACCCGGGACCTTTGAATGAGAGGCCAACACCTTAAGGGCTGGTGGGGCACCTGAGGTTTATTTTGGCTATTACAAGGCCTAGAGTGCCCATATTTGCTGTGGGATATTGTTCAAAAAGTATATTGTGAATCGGTTGCTATGGAAACGACGGCCATATTGGATTGTGTGTACTTTTTTAAATCCCATTTTATTTCCTTATTCATCAACCGATTCATTTCTAATTTGGCATGCCAACATGACAGTACATATATATATATAGCTCTTAAATTTGGCTTGTGTTGAATTTTTTTATTATGCTTTAGTTTTTATTTTATGACACTTACAATTGAGATGTTGCAAAAAAGGTCAAAACATTTTTTCGGTCACTACCCGGATTCCAACCCGGGACCTTTGCATGAGAGGCCAACACCTTAACCTCTAGGCGACGAGAGCCCCCCACAGCTGGGCTAGCCGTACTTATTCTTTTAATATGATGGCTAGACTGACCATTAAAAAAAATAGGCCTACTGAATTGTAAAAATATAAATTTTTAGTTTGCGGTACCTAAAGTATTTGTATTTGAGACGAAACTACGTGCCTTAATGACAGTGCATGTAAACCTCCTGTTTTCTAATGTTAATAGGGCCAGTCTAGCCGTACTTAAGTACGGCTAGACTTCTTGGCTAGCCGTACTTAATATCGATGGCTGAATTGTAAATGAAATTTTTAGTTTGCAATGCCTAAAAGTAGATCTAGATCTAGATCTAGATCTAGATTTAGATCTATTTGTATTTCAGACAAAACCAAAACGTGCCTTAAGTTGACTTGCATCATGTATTTAAACCTGAATAATTACTAGATTCTACATCTAGATCTAGATCTAATCTAGATCTAATGAGTTATGAGACCTGTGTATTTAACAGGTTTGAGTCGATAGGGCCAAACCTAGATCTAAGTACGGCTCCGGCTAGACTGGCAGTCTAGCCGTACTTTTAAGTACGGCTAGCCACTTCCTATACTTATGCAGTTGCAAGCGCCGAAAAACACTACCTCTACCAAAAAACAAAAAAAACTAGATCTAGATCTAGATATCTAGATCTAGATCTGTATTCTAGATCTAAATCTAGAATCTAGATCTAGGCTAGGTCTACAGCTTGCTGGGAGTTGAGGCTCAGACAGAGCAATAATTACTACAGTACAGACTACAGAAAATTAATCAACAAAAAAGACTCACCTGGTGAATGGAGACGAATGGCACCTTGTTTTGTCTCTGGAACAGGAATTACTAATCTAGATTCTACAGGTGGAGAAAGAGTAAAACAAAAACTGAATCAAAGCTGTGGCGTTGCTGTAAATCAAAACCGTTGCTGTAAATCTAAACCGTCTAGAATCTAGATATCTAGATCTAGATATATTTAATCTAATCTAGATCTATATCTAGATCTATATTCTAGAGTCTAGACTTATATTTATATATAGATCTAATCTAGATCTAGATCTACATCTAGATTAGATATAGATTCTAGATCTATCTCTAGAATCTAGATTAGATCTATCAAAAGGTCGAGATCACTAGCAAGATAGATATAGAATCTCTAGATCTAGATCTAGATTCTATATAGATCTATATAGATCTAGATTTCTAGATCTAGAAATCTAGATTTAGATCTGGTAGGTCAATAGGAAGATTGAAGAATACCGGACCACTCGTACTAGTCGTACATTATTGCGCGAGAAAGTGGGGTAGGTGGGGCGAGTGGTTGGGGTGGAGGAGGGGTTCAGGGGGGTCTCCCCCCTGACAAAATTTTGATGAATAGATCTACCGGTCCGAGATTCTCCATTGAGAGATATTAAAAACGGGAAAATTATGAATAATTGAATTCCTACCTAAGGCCTAAGGCAAGGTTGAGATTGAGACACACTACACAAGCAAAGTCAGTCCGCTGGTTCGGTATTCTTCAATCTTACCGGTCAATAAATCAAGTTATAAGATACCTGTGTAAAGAACGGTGCGTTATCTCCAAACGGAACGGAGAATACGGGCACCAAATGAACTATTATGAAAACGTTCTCAGCACACAAGACAAACTATTTCACGGAAAGGAGGAGAACGATAGGCCAACTCAACACAGAAAGAGCCACACTCCACTTCGAACCGTTCATACCTTTTGCGACACAAGAACGACGCGTGGCAAGATCGATCGAGATAGGCTTTGGTTGGCTTGGCTCTGTCCCCGTCCCACCGAATCTCTGCTTTGGCTTTGTATTGTAGCCTATTGTATTTTATTGTGCTTTCCGTGTTCCGCACGCTCGGAGGGCTGTCATTTGTTAAGTGTGTTGGCTCCACTCCGTTGCTGAGCCAATTTCAACGTCTCAAAGCAATTTGAATAACTTCATCTGTTATAATGGTTTAGAATTGAAATACCAGATAATCTTGTCAAATCAGAAAATTGTTATTCTCTAATCTCCCTCTTTAGGCCTATAAATATAATTAGGCCCAGCTATTATATATATATTATCCTCATTATTATCGTTCTCTTCTTCTTCTTCTTCTTCTCCTTCTCCTTCTCCTTCTCCTTCTCCTTCTTCTTCTTCTTCTTCTTCTTCTTCTTCTTCTTCTTCTTCTTCTTCTAATATGATGTATCACCATCGTCATCATCATCATTCGTAGCGCAACTTACGGTCTTTTCTTTTTTGTTTGTTTCTTTTTCTTCTTCTTTGGTAGGCCTTAATTAAGTGTTTTACAGCCCTCGCCGCAAAATATATAGCCTAAGGTCATATGAGCTCCCGGGACACCCTAACAAACATTTTTCAGTTAGTAGGAAATTTTGAATTTTGCCCGGGTGGCGGCCGAAACCTAACTCTAATCGATTTTAAACCACCAAGGGATCTTTAACGTGCACAACTTGCACACTGGCCCTCCGTGATTTTTCGTCCTTGTCTGAGAAGGCAAGATGTGATCTTTCCTAGAAGATCAGGGGTTTTGCTGAAAGACAGCTGTAACTTACTGTAAGAGCCAAGCAGTACAAGAAAGGCTGCAGAAAGAGTCAGAAGCCCAGATGAGGGGGCAAAGAATGTGGAGGGGCGGGGAAGAGTGGAGACGAAGCAGACAGAACATTGCCTGAGAGCAGGAAATAGGAAAGGAGATGAAAGGAGACAATTTTAGAGAAGACAAATTTTCCGTCACTTCCCGGATTCGAACCCGGGACATTTGAATGACAGGCGAACACATTAAACCTCCAGGCTACGAGAGCCCCCTCAACTTATTGTCCATTGTTTTCTCAAACTAGATCTATCGAACATAGGTGCTCCAACTTTTGCACAATGACTATTGTACAAAAATGTATCACTTTGCCTTATAACAGGTCAACATTTTTGTAAACACATGCTATATTCTAGAACCACACCCCTCAATAAAAACTAATAAAATTTCCAAGTGGGTGGTTTCTACAGATTTAAAAAGGTTTACAGCTGGGGAAATAAAAAGCAAGTCTGTCATATTTATTTTCTAATCGTAACTTTATGCATGTTTCGAGAATCTTTAGTGCAAAAATGTATAGCCTATGTTAAAAAATTAATTTCTGGTAGGCTAACAAATTTTGCCACTAAAAAGTGTCACTTGTGAGTCGTGACGTAGGCCATCGCGTATGCAAAATCTGTGTGAGAAGATGGAAGTGCAGTGAACAATCCCATTTTACGCGTGGCGGAGATTTCTTGTAGTTATATAATTTGTGAAGAAACGTTTTTTAATCTAGATCTAGTTTCAATCTTTGTGGAAAGATATGATTAAGTTTAGACAAATTGACATAAACTGCTGGGCAAAGTTTGGGTGAGATCGATTCATCTGTTAAAGAGATATTTGAGGATAAGTTGCGCCACGGATTTTTGACGGCACTATATAAAGCGAATGTCCAATAAGTATCCTATACGATACGTTGCTGCATTGAAGAACAAACTGTAGATTCCAGTTTACTACATGATGAATCTCGACTCACTGATAGATCTAGATCTGGGCTAGGTCTACAATAGAAAGAAGCTTGTTTGTCTGTGTTGTTGGGGCGTGCTCAGTATAGGCGCCTGGAGCCGCCGAGGGTGTGCAAATTCTAGCATCTGCGTTTGTCGCGGCCGCGATTTTGGGCATTTTTTAGTCCGCGCACCGCGGCCGCTATTTTTGCTTTTTTTCCACCCCCCCCCCCCCCCCCCAAACCATAAAAAACAACAACAAACCAAAAAAAAAAAAAACAGAGCAAAAAAACAAACAAATCAAAACAACAAGAACAATGCAATAAAATAACACCGCCGGGTCAGGGGGAAAAAATCGAATAAAAGGGGAATAAATATCGACAATTAAAAATAAAAAAAATCGAACTTCTTTACTTTTAGAAAGAAAGTTTATTTTCACTTCCACTTCACTTCGTCGCTTTCTCGCTAATTGTTCATATCACGTTAATTTTTTTATTTTCATGTGAAATAAAAATATATGGCTTTTTCTATTTTCTGTTTCCCTCTTTGTTGAGTTTTACTTGGTTGGTGTGTTAATCTTTTTTCTTGTTATTGTTCCGATGTGTTGTTTTTCCATTATTTTTTTGTGTTTATATGTATAGCGTAAATGTCATTTAATTTGATTTTGTTCCTACTTTTTTATATATATATTATAAATATAATATATATACATATATAAATGTGTTGTTAGAACGTGTCTCCACCAAAACCGAACACTTGTACTGACACAGGCCCCTTAATGTGTAATTCCATAATTTACACGTAACATTCTGTAGGCAAAAATTATTCTTGAATTACGCACGTTAACGGTTAAAATAGCCAATCTTCGGATAGATGGACGCACGCCCTTAACATGTACTTGATAATTGTTGTGGTTGTTTATGTGCAGTTCTAATTTTGATTTAATTTAGTTGTGAAACGTTTATTTTTCACAATTTTACACTGTGTAGCTACAAATGATATTCTGGATGCTTAAAACAGACCACAAGAAATTCTGGTGCTTTAGGTTAAGTTGCCTCTATCAGCGTTTTGCTGTAGATATTATCTAGAGTAAAGTAGGGTGTCGCGTCCACCTGGTCTATTCTGTGGCGTCCGCGTCCGCTCGCTGTTTCGTTATTCATCGGTGTTGGATCGATTCGATTCCGGTCGTGTAATTAAAAAGTATAAGCAGTTTCCGTTTCATTTCGCATTTGACTTTCGTTTTTTACACGCTGTAAGTCATTATTTTCTGGTAATTAAAAATTTGTCTTCTTCATTAGCGAGTTACATTGTTATGTATTATCTTTGGTTACACCAATGATAGTACATAACAAGATGGGCCACTTCTCTCTTTGAGCCAATTAAAAAAGTGTCCTCAAAATTTGGTGGCGCCCTCTTCACAAAAGCGCACTCTTTGCGAACAGAGTTACCCTACTTGAGTTTTTAAAAATCAAAGTGAAACTAGTAAGTTTTGGGATAAATTTCGGAAGAACGTTTTTTTAAAATGGTTACGCTGACAAAAAAACTCTTCCGGAGGAAAGGGTGATGGTTTTCTTCGTTTAATTTGACTTTAGAATGAAAGGCGAGAGGTCATTAAAATTAAAAAACAACTAAAACTTCGCACTGAACGTACCCGAACTGCTGATGAACAGCAGTCGATCTGCGCACGCAAGGAGGTGCTATTCCTATTCTTCTTCTGGAAAAACGAAAGAGAGCTTCAAAACAGACTGCAGCGCCATCTGAAGCAAAGAGCATACTTCCTGCGGACACTTTTTTGGCTGAGTGGCCCATCTTGTTATTCACTATCTTTGGTAGCACTCACCGACTGAGTAGATTCAGTATGGTGAATGAGTTCACATCCTGTACAAATGCATAATATGTCATTCACTCAGCCACTTGTAGACATCTATTACCAATCAAAGGTTTATTTTTGTGAAAATTTTGTGTTTCTTAAATCCCATTAGATGTAGAGATCTAGATTTAGATCGTCTACATTATTTTCTTTTGTTTTTGTAACATTAAAAAAAACCCAAACAAAAGTCTTTCAAGTCTAGATGGCCCTTTATAGTGGCTCTGAATATGTGAAATGTGCTGACAAAAGATCTTACTGGCTTAAACCCGAGAAGTGCATGCCCACTATTTCATAACCCCCTTGTACGTACCATCCATCCACGTATTTTGAATGCATAAATTTACTTGCATTTAAATTACTGAACATTACAAACTAAAATTTTTAATAAATCTACATAAGTATAAAGATATTTGGTTGTAAATTAATAAATAGAGTCTACATGTAAATGATTTTGTCACTTTATCTAATGTCAGTGTTAATGAATGAAACATCTTAACATAGGTCTAAAGGTTTTATTCATTTTTATTTTTTACATAATGAAGAATGAGTGAGTGGATAATAATATTTAAGATGAAGAATGACAGACTGGGTGAACATAGATCTAGATTCTATGTTTAAACAACATTTATTTCTTATATTATAAGGAATTATGGGGTGGTGGTACTGACCAGACCAGGCGCGGTTCGTCCATAGAGCACGGTCGTGCAGTGACGCCCACATTTTTTAAATGTTCTATTACGAAAAGCACCCACAAACATGAAATAAAAGAAGTCAGAAACAAACACTAGCCAAATATTATATCAAAACAAGGTCCTCGCTGGCGCTGTAGCTGTTATTTCTGTGTCTATAGCGCTGTAAAACGTCTACTATGCCAAGCCAAAATCCACGCGCTTTAACTAAACGTAATAGAATATTCAACTGTGGCTATCTGACCTATAAATCGCTCTTTGGATAACCCAAGTGATGACGACACTCGTAGCGAGTTTGGCGGTACATTAATATTAGCAAGACGGCACATCTCAAATGTGCACCCACGAAAAAGCCCACAGTAGGCAGTCTAAAAATAAACGCGATAGCCTGTACACTATACAATGCCAAAATTATGTGATCCCCGGAGCAATCCAGCGGAGTGCTCAAGTGAATTGTGATTGGTTCATTGTCTTGTCACTATTTTAAGCGACTCTGTGACCGTGGACCTGAGGGAGGTGAACGTGACATACTTAAGTCACCGCCCTATGAGTTGTGCCTTTGAATGGTTTTGTAGTGGAGTGGTGAAAGTTATTACTCAAGTGTTCAGATCCAATGCAGGATATAGAAATTGATGTTACGCTAACAAACAGATTTAGTTTTAGAAATCAAAGCTACAAGTAAAAAAAATGAAAATAAAACCATAAGGTCCTCCTTCACCAACCTAGAGATCCTACCATCCGATTTACTATGCCCTTGACTATCTTCAACCTGCTGTTGCTTAATTGTGCACGCCCACTTTTTAGCCCCACGAGCCACCCCTGGACCAGACCTAGTGGACGCATTCACCAGCAAAGTGGATGCGTCACCAGACCAAAGTGGACGCATATAAAATGCAATGTAGAATGAAGTCTATTTAAAAGCATACAGAGATGATAAGTAAGTCTGGTGATGCGTCCAATTCTGCCGGTCACGCCGAAACTTTCAAAATTTGGATCGATACGAAAATAGCCGAATTATGGCTTTCTAAAGGCATGAAGGTGGACGCGCACCTGACTTTAACGGTACTTCCGTGTTGCCCGTGTGGTCTGCATTTGAGCTAACTCGAAAGGTCTCCAAATTACGACATGCGCAAAATAAACCCCAAAACAAAACAAAACAAAAGCAACCCACTAGAACTGCTCCACTCTTTTGATTTGGGGATATTGATGAACAAAGACGCTATTGCTCTCACCTTGTCAAGCTGCCAGCCTTGTTTGGCGAGTTCACACCTTATTGACTCGAGGACACATTGAGTGGGGAAGGTCCGGGTGAAGGTCGCACACACAGGCTTGTAGCCTACTCCATGGTACAGCGGCGTTTCTTCAAGGCGTCACAGGACGCAGACATAGCGCCACCCACGTACATAGCCAGGAGAACCAACACTAGCCACTTCATGATGCTGATGACGACATGGGTGTTTGACAAGTTAGTTATTGAATTCTTTCTGAATGGATTTTACCTATTCTAGACACACGTAGTTCATTTAGAAGGCTGAACTTACAGTTTGGGGTTTCATTTATCTAATTTTCGCTTGACCGAACCCGTAAGTGACCAATAGGGTTGAAAGAGAATAGGACACAATTATATACAATCTAAAGAAATGATGTCACCCTGTTCAAATTAGTTTGTGGATTACGTCATGTATTATTGATGCTTGTTAACAGTGGTGAGGTAAAATGCGTGAAATATGCTCCAAAAATTATTCATACCACTCCCTCCTCCCCCTCACCTCCGGTTTTGCCATTGTAATTGAATCTATTTGTACTGAATTTAAGATTTCACGAATGCTTTGTATTTAAAGTATGAAGGGCTTGAAATTTGTTACAAACATTGGTATTTCGGTTAACGCGATAGGAATCTGAGACCGAAAAAAATGTTTGCTTCTGTACGAGTACGAGTTCATGTGAAGTGGATCAGATTTTGATTTAAAAAAGAAAAACGTATTGAAACCGATGCTTTCCTTAAAAAACATTAAACATGCCGTTACTTCGTTCTTAGCATTTGTTACTTCATTGTTAGTATTTCTTAAATGTTATTGCTATGACAAACTTCAATATTAAAATTTTTTTTAAAAATCCAGGAGTGTTCCTCTTAAATGGACCTCATTCATAGGCCTTTATCTAAGGGGGCAAATATGGAAAACACTTATTTGCCAAGACAGAAGACACGAGAATATAAAATTAAAATGTGTGAGGGGGTTGGGTGAGGTTGGGGGGGGGGGGGGGGGGTGACCTTATTAGTCATTTCAATTAACATCGAATTCTTTAGTTATCCCTTGCATTTGATCATTTATGAACAATAGAAACGGTTTAAGTTCAGGCTCAATGTAACAGCTACGGTGGGAAGGCGGTACTACTCAAAAAGCTTTATCTTCATTTATGCGCCATTCCTCTGTGGGACATTGTCAAAGATATCGGCAATAAAAATTCAGAGGATGTAGGTTCAGACGCTCATTCTGTTGATTTAAAATAATTTATGTCTCCCTGACAGCTTTCAAATTTTAATTGCACGAAAGTCTCCCCCATATGAGAATAGTTGGGACTGGAGCCTGGGAAAGGATTTGGAGGGTGGTAAACCAGTTGCAGACTTCTGTGAAAGTTAGGAGGTTACGGGTGTTAGTGTTAGGAATTTTTTCTAATACTTGTACTGAAGAGTTATAGATTTCGATTAATTGTCAGAACAGTATACTGTTCAGAACTGCGTCTGTTTAAAACAATAACTAAAATGATTGGTACTAGAGTTTTATTGGCAAGTCAAGATGCGAGGCCTTCCAAAAAGTGCCTGATCAGCACCACTCAAACTCAATGAGCCAGCTACAAATGATGGGTTTTAGGTTTAGGAGGTGAAATGCCGGGTAGCAGTAGTAGCGAAATGAATGCCATGTGAACACACGAGTCTTTAATCGGTAAATGGAGAGCAGAAGCATCGACACGTTAAGATTTTTTTTTTAGAAGAAAGAAAGGGGCTTTACGTTTGCAGGAGGCGTACATAATATTTTGCAACGAAAAAAAAGAAAGAAAAAAAAGAAAGAAAAAAAAGAAAGAAAATGCTCAAAACAGAAATAAATTTGCGCCAAACATGCCTCTGCCAACATGACCAGTCTCACCTGTTTCGGAGAATTACCGGTACTGGGTTCCGTCTAGGACAAGAGTATGTTCTCCACTGTCCAGGTTCCCGTCTTTATACACACTGACAAACGTAAATGTCTCGTTGGGTGAATCCACAGTACACTTTAGCTTCAGCTCATCTCATTTATTTGAGATCATCAGATGACAATCTGCCTTGCACACTGCGGATAATGAGCAAGGCCAGTAGGCCTACTAAACTTAGTTATTGCTCTTTGTCCTTTGTATACAGTTGTAATCTTTCTCCAATTTGACGAAATAAATAAAAGACAATGATCTAAGGGTGTAATGAAGGTGTCGGTGAGTGACCTCAGAGTACTTACCAACCCAAAGCCCACAGAAATCGTTATACTTTCCTCTGTTGTACATATTAATAAAACTTAATAGACATCACTAGGGTCTCTACGAGCGTTTGTGAGATTTAATTGTTACTATCCCGCCCAAATCACACCAATAACCAGTGACTACCCACGGTGTTATTATCAAAAGTACTTGTCTCACTAAGGCTGTCCTGTACAAGCCCCCCCC